AAAACAGATGACGGCTGTCTTCTGGGCTATTTCGCCGTGTAGTTTAGTATAGAAGTCTACCGACGTTTTAGAGGTACTTGCAGGTACCATCATCAGGCGAACGACGGTAAACCTCTACCAGACTACACGGCGCTACAACCCGCAGTGAGAACCTCAAATCCTACTTAACGAAGCAGTTGTATTTACATTTGTCGAGACGAATCCGTGCGTTCCACACCCGTTAAAAGCAATAGACAAGGGGATCAGAGGGGTGCGAGAGGTAGAAAATACTGTCCACACAATAAAACTCTGTTTCCCGGTGGCACCAGTCTGTAGCTCCCTGTCTCATTTCCCGTGTCGGTAATGTCTTTGGTTTACATCGTATTTGCGTTTTTCCTTCTACACGCAAGCTAGTGACGTAGACGAAACACACACTTTAGTCCCGCCTACTGTATTTAAACTAGCAGCAGCGTTGCATAGTTAAACAACACAATTTCGAATAAGATGGATTTACGAGGACTATTCTCTTTCGTAGAGGAACAATTTACTTCACAAATTTTCGCCATATCATACGGCTAAGAGCAACTCTTTCAGACGACGAACATAATTTTTAATACACCGTTGACGTAGCGGCGGACGTAGATCCTACGTATCTGGAGACAAACATTTTCGTGAACAATAAAATCCTTGGAAAAGTTACGGTGATCAGTTTGCACACTACGCGCCGCTGACACAGATTTCCATGCCCTGTCACAACGTGAGACGACGTAGCCACTGCACAGATTACACGCATCACCGGAGACTGTGTGGTTCTGTGCATTCAGTACCCCGGCCTTACATTGACGCTTCGATTTCTTACCCTAAAAAGGAAACAATCGCTGGAGGAAAAACGGGCCCCCGTCGCCTGTTCCGGACGTGAAAGAAATGCTTAATGCCCTACAGGGAATCGAAACCCAGTCGTCCAGTCACTTATACAAGACATCAGATGGAAACAGAAGAAAATAAGATGGCTGTCTTCTGGGTTGTAACGCCGTGTAGTCTGACCGACGTTTCAGATGTCATTGCTGCCTCCATCATCGCCCTGACGATGGAGGCAGCAATGACCTTTGAAACGTTGGTAAACATCTACCATACTACAAGGCGCAACAACCCAGAAGACAGAAATCTTCATACTCATCGCCCTGATGACGGAGGCAGTATGACCTCTGAAACGTTGGTTAACATCGACCAGACTACACAGCGCAACAACCCAGAAGACAGAAATCTTCATCGCCCTTATGACGGAGGCAGTATGACCTCTGAAACGTCGGTAAACATCGACCAGACTACACAGCGCAACAACCCAGAAGACAGAAATCTTCAGACTCACCGCCGTGAAAACATCAAATCCTAAAGAAAAACGTTCCAGGGGACCTAAACGTAGCTGGGAGGACAATGTTACTGGTTGTAATCTGTTTGGTGAAATCCAGAAACGAACTGCACAGCACAGGCACTGAATAATTCGCTGGTAGTAAAATGCAACTTCGTTGAAGAAGCCAATACTAAGCGAGAACAGGTTTTACGATCCACCGCAACTTCTGGAGCTCTTGAAACTCGACTTCAGCATCTTCCATCTCTGTCCATCCCTTTTTTTTTAGCCTACTTTCCTTTCCTAGTGAAGAAAGTAGGTTTACGAGATCACCTTTGTGTGCGCGCGCGTGTCCTCAGACAAATCTTGAAACAAACGTTGCGACTCTGGAGACAAGGACAAATTCGCATTCTCTTCGTGTCCTTATGTTTCCACGCCTGGAGCTCAATGTACAACTTCGGTTTTCGGGAATGAACAGCTTCCAAAAACGTCCAACTCTGAAGATGGTAACTTCAATGTTTGCCGAAACGCTTGAAGTTCTACATTCGTATTCTTTTAATTTCCACGATCAATATTAGCAATATGGTAGGCGAGCGGAAATGGCTTGGTGTTTCTTAAACTGGAGTCATGAACTGATGTTCGTACAGAATATCATATTCATCCCCGCCAAACCGAAAATTAAATATGAATTTTTCGTAGTCGCAAATATTCTTCTGCACTGTCAGTAAAACATATAACAATTCTACATGCGGAACTGTAAATGTTTCCGCTTAAAAAAAATTATTGATCACTAATCCTGTACTCCATTTGAAGATACGCTAATTGAATAGATAACTTTATCTAAAAAGCAGTCTTATCAGGTAAAAGAGGAAAAAACACGTTTGATCTAAATCAGGGGTGGCCAACCCGCGGCCCGCGGGCCGCATGTGGCCCGCCTTGAACATTTTTCCGGCCCGCGAGATTCATCACACTTTTACAAAATATATTTATTTTATAATGGCCAAAGTAGTGAAAACCAATGTATTAAAAAAATACATTATTTGTGCATCCATATATTCAAAAATTAGATTTCATTATTTTTATTTCATTCATATTTATATATTTTTTATATTTAATTTTTAGTGCTATATATTTCTTTACAATGTACGCTTAGTATCATTATTATTATATTATCCATGTTTACATGTCAGAATAATAGTAAACACAATAATAATAACTCATTATGTTTCAATTTTTCACTCCAAAAAAATGTCTATAGTGTATCTAAATCTAATATGGGGATATATAATTTTATATGTGGCCCGCGGAGTTATGATGCATTTCCAAAGTGGCCCGAAAGATCATTTGGGTTGGCCACCCCTGATCTAAATCAAGTGTTTAGCCAAATCGAATAATTCTGAAAGCGACATATTTCGTAAAAGTTATGCTAGGTTTCGTTAGTTTTCTAGGTATCATAAAACGAAAATTTCCCTATTTCCCATTCCGCCCTCCGTACCAGACCATCACTTAGGCCCCGCGTAAGCACGGAATGAAACGGACCCGTCCATCTGACGTAACGTTTCTGTTTGGCAAACAGTTACAACCATTCGGGATAATTAGCATGTCGCGCTGGTGCCAAAGCGCTCGTTTAGACACGGCTATTGTAACACACCGAGTGCTCTTCAAGAAAAGACTCGAGTTGATCGCAATTCTTATCGATGCGAGTCCTCCTTCCAACGTCACAGCCGCGTGGTTGGCACTCCTGCTTCATATTAGGGAGATTCCACGACTGCTTATACTGTGTCGTCTGCTTCATTTATATCCTGACGCCTTAAAATGGCGACGGGAGTTGGCAGGAGGGATGCAGGTAGGCTAGCATAACATTGCACAACTAAGTACCACCGTCCACAACACTCCTTCAACCCTGAAGATGGAAGCAATATATTCATCCGAAACATCGATATCATCCTACAAGTCCACACAGCTTTACGACCCAGAAGACTAATTCTGACATCTTCATCGCCTTCTAAACCTAATCTCACACACACGAGATTAACTGTAAATAAAATATATATACGACTGACGAAGGTCAGAATCTTTAAATGAAACATCGCCTTTATTGCAGTTCCAAACAGAGCACAGCAGGAAAATGTATCGATGTTGTTTTTACTGGAGGTGGCAAGTACAGATACTACCTGCTTTAATATTTAAAAACTACGCATCTCGCCAGAGCATATTCACAGGTTTCTTGTGATTCTCAGAATAAATTAAGGGAAATTATTCCCCTAAACAGTATTAACCAAATTATATTTGTAATAAGACGTGTCGCGTTTTCTTTGAGGTAAGAACTAGATTCTTAAATACTTAGACGAGCTTCAAATAGTAAATCTATTCGATTCTTCACGCTTAACGATACTTGGTTAAATATCTCTGAATATTTTGCATTTACAAACTAATTTCCTGATAAGCTAAAAGTCCCAGAGCTATGCTAGGGAGCTCCTTGCCTTTTATAAAACACAAAAGTTCAAAATGTAAAGTAAAGGCCTAATTTTTACATATAACTTTTGTTATAGCCTATTTATAAACAAAATATAATTGATTAAATGACTGTTACGCTGTTCAGTTAAATGTGCGTATTTAGGCCACTGGTAATGCCATAAATCTGTTAACAACGATGACTATTGGCAACACAGATCAATAAATGAGAAATACTTTCTTGGTATTAATCTAAAAGTGGAACCACTAGCGGGCAAGACTAATCAAATTAGCAGCTTGGGCTACGTACATTACATCAACATTCGTTAATTGCCCACAGTTAAATATTTTCCACGTACAAAAACTTTAAAACAAAAATATGAAAATTAATTTTGTGTATCAGCTTTATTACGTTGTCCTATTCGCTTTATTTTGACCAAAATAAAAATCCCGGTTACTTCAGAGCTGAACAAAAATGCCATTCAGTAACTTTGTAGACAACATACGGACAGATGACGCAAAAAAAATTGTAAAAATTAAACATATTTTTGTGCATTCTTTGCATAAAATTAATGCGTAATGTGGAGATCGCATCATATTCAGTGGATTTCAATTAAACTTAACACTGGGGGTTTTCTTCTAAAAAAAACATTGTTCAGCGAATTTATTTCACCATAATTCTTTAACTATCTCAAAAGCGGTTCACCGTCTAAAAACTGACACACGATATCTACGTACTACAGTGTGTTCACTGACACCGGTGACCGCAACTGACTTCCACGACCACAGCGCTAAGCGCTACGAACAGCAAGCAGTTCCAGCCGGAAGCCGGGAAACAACATCTGCGTTCAACTATAACTGTATCTAATTTAAAGCAACTTTTCGATTTGATGAATACGAAACGAAAAACAAGAAAAAGTGATTCCGGTTAGCACCTGCAATAACAAGCCTTTTATCTTCAACAAATGAACATGTATGCCAATGAACGAGTGAACATCCCTTCGCCCCGAGCCCCGCAATTCGAGGAGGTGGGGGCGCACAACATATTTCGAGCGCACAGACACCTTAAGCGACCAAGAATTAGAAATGTAACATAAACAGTATTTAAGTGCGTCGTCAATGAAGTCTCAGAACAAAGACAGGAACACGCTCTTTACTCTAGGGACGCCTATGCCTTAAATTCTTGTTCTTTTTTAATGTTGGTAGTAATATCACTCACCGCCCCCATTTTGTTGACAGAGATAAGGGAACCTCCAAATATTCCCGAGTCCTACTGAATATCCTATGATACTCAGGAAGAATTGCATCTTATTGCTCCAGGCCGCACGATCTTCAGTGGCGTCGACAGCTCCCGTCACGATGCTGTTCCTGTGAGATCCGCCTCCCTGTGGCGATGGACTCACAACAATAGTGACACCAGGACCTGCGGTTCTATTGTTGCGGGCGTTCAGTGGTGCCAGCTCGTGGCCGTTTCGAGACTC